AATTCGGCACTGCGGATAACTGTGCGGACCTTACTTGGCGACAGCGAGGACGGCATCCGCTCGCTCGGTGAAATACTGTGCATAACTATAGCAAGAGTAGGCCTCAAGTTGAACCCTACAAGAGCAAAAATTATGAGGAACCCGAAAGGTATCCTACCGGGAACCGAAGGTGTCTCATGGAAACAGTACCATCGAAGAAATTTCGCAGTTCAAAAACCTAGTCGTTATTATTTCTATGGATTTGAGCTGTGAACAGAACCTGAAAAAAGGGGTTGAGCTGATATCGTTCATCTGCAAGACCCTTAAGAACATTTGGACTCAAAGAGGGACAGCAGTCGCTACCAAGATTCGACTATATTGCGCTGCTGTCCGACCAGTTCTGATATACAGGCAGGAAACGGCCGCATTCGTAGATCCCAGGAGCATCGACTGTACAGCATGCAACAGCGCTGATTGCGCCGGCTGTTCAAGAGGAAGCGGTTCGGCCGCATGAAAGCGATCGAATCTTAGCATAGCTGACCTAACCTACGTATCGAATTTGCTGAGGCAGACTGCTGGCGTAGTTCGATCATTTGCAACGAAACGATGAAGTCTAATGGGCTCGTCAGTTACTGACGTGGGGACCCAAACATGGACGGCGTAAGTTTGGTGGCCAGCACGTTACATTGCAGCGAAAATTAAGCGAAGATTTGTTGTAGATGTGGAATATTTCGGTCGTGGACTGAGATAACAGCTCCTAACTTCAAAAGCGATAAGTGGACATGAGCCAACATCACTAGTCTGCATGTTTGCCAAAATGCTAAACCTGATTATGACAAATGCAAAATCTTGGGATTTTGAAAGATGTCTGATCTGATGCCAGCGTGAAAGTCACGCTGTTCATCCTGAACCCTTTGCTCTGTCAGTTTTATGCGTCTAGTGTGGGAATGAAATAACAAGGTCTGAACTTTGAGTCTAATGTAAGTAATGCGTAACTACAATCTTTAAAAATCTGAAAATCAGAAATCGCGCCTGCTCGTTTGCAACGGTTTTGAGTTGTCTTTTAAGGTCCTTTCGAAACGTGATCAATGACGTCTTTCGCGCAAAGACGATTTTGCATGAAGTCTTCGCTTTGATTCGTACGTATTTAACGTTGGCGCTTTCCTTGTTTGTTTAACAGTGGACTTTTTCAGAACTACTGATCATTTCATATTACATGGTGAAGTTCCTTAGTCACACTCGAGTCTGATGTCGCTGGTGCCGAGAAGCCTTTTTCACAGAAGTTGGTTGAAGCAACTGATATGTGAATTCCACGTTAGCTGTTCGCTTGCGGAGCGCAACCAGTTTGGCATCAAACTGATCGACCATGAACTGAACAAAATTCTGTTCGGTAACCAGCGTGAGACTCACCTGCCATTGACACGCGTGCTTCCACTGATGAAGGATATCGAAAGCTTTGTCGGAACACGAAAGCTTGCTGAAAAGATTGCTCCAGAAAGCGAATCTCACAAGCGAGAAGATCTGAAAAACCAACTCATTGCACGCCACTTTCCAAAGTTGCAAGGAGGCGACTTGAATGAACATTTTAAGAACATAGCCGCAGAGCAAGTCCAGAACTACAAACTGTTGCTGAATCGACTTGCCGACGCTACGCTGCCTCCTTGTCCTTCCAAGTGGATATTTGCCACCGGCTGGACGGCATACAGCCCGGACGGCACGACGACTAAGGTTGACTATCCTTCTGACAACGTTCTGGTATTCGACGTTGAAGTCTGCGTTCCTGTTGGTCAGCATCCTATTCTGGCCGTCGCAGTGTCCGACATCCGCTGGTATGCACAAGGTTCTATTTGTCGTTTTTATTTTATTTCGACGGAGGTCGAACGTAAACTATAATCTTCATCTTCGTCTTCTTCATCTTCCATCGCCGCTTCTCCTTTCGGGTCGCGGAGGCAGACGCGTCAGTTCTTCCAGCGTTTCCGATCCTCTGCCAGAGTCTGAGCTGCAGCAGAAGACAACTAGAGTCTGGAACCGACTCCTTTCATATATTTGCACCAGGTTAACCTTGGCCGTTCCCTGGGCCTTATGCCCGACGGATTTGCAAAGAACAGTTCCTTAGCCTTCCTTTCTGGCATTCGCAAAACACGACCAAGACATCTTCATCTTCATCTTCATCTTCCATCGCCGCTTCTCCTTTCGGGTCGCGGAGGCAGACGCGTC